CTGACCTCTCTCACACTCACGAAGGCATCGTGCCTTGGCCACGTCACGTGGCTGCCCAGCACTGGGCACCGAGGCCGGACGCCAGAGCTGTCTGTTCCCTTCTCCTGGGCAGCCTCTGGCCTGAACCCTGGACCCTTTGGAACCGCTGCGGGTCTTTGCGGCCACCCCTGAATGGGCCTGCCCACCTCCAGGCCCTGCGGCCCAGCTGTACGGAGGGAGGGCCTCGCACAAGAAGAGTCCCACGAAACAGGTGCAGCCCCCAAACCAAGCGCTGTCACTTTGTGGCAAAATCAGCACCTCGCAGCGCAAGGCGGTAAGAATAGGTTTTCAGGTTTATAATTGCCGTACTGCTGCTTTGGGGCAGGTGTTTATTGCACTGGTGAAACTTAAATGCTTCTAAAACCTGGCCTTTCAAAAAGATCACAGAAAAAACACTTGTTGGTTTTACAGAATCCCTTTCCAGAATCATCTACTGATGGAATGTCCTCTAATTTCAACTCTGACATACGCCGCAAACCCGTTTTTAAAGCGGCGGAGATATGCGTTTTACAGGGGGTCTGTTTTCATTTTAAAAAAAAAAATCCATGTAAGAACAGTATTTCTTCTCTAGGGGAAAGAGTAATTTTGTTTTGAAATACTAATGTCTAAGTTGCTAAATGTTCTTTTTTTCTACAGAAGTGAGAGATGAGGAGTCTGACACAGGCGCTCACTGTTTTTCTAATTGAAGATGTCACAGCCTCTCGGGGGCCAGTGATGACTTCCTGGCAGTGATGGAAATAAGTCTGTTTCTTAGTAACCCGTCTACTCCAAGTAGGTACACTTGCTCCCCTTCTCTCTTCTGCATAACTGGAAGAAATCTGACACTTCGGCTGAAAGGCAACCTAATTTAGATGCTTGAACAACAAAGGCCATCCTCTGGGGTACAGAGCCAGGCAGGGGCAGATCGGGCCTGGGCGGGGCCGTTGGGCCCACAGTGGGTGTGCTGGCCGGGCCTGGCTGGGGTGGGGCCGCGTGAGAGACGCATGCACCCAGGGCTTCCTGAAGAAAGCCACTTAGGAAGCCAAAAAAGGACAGGGAAAGTGAAGAGATGCAAGTCTGGATGCCAAACGCCCTTGTTTAGCTTTTTGGTGAAGGATGAGGGTGAAAATCATTCGAGACGTGACTTCAGAACACGTGAAACCCAAGTTGGAAGAGGCAGTTGGAAATAAATTATGTTTCCTTTGAAGGAAAGATGTGTGTCTCCAGCACTTTTCTGTCTGAATTCCTTCCTGACTGCTTTTCAATTTGTTTGCTTGAAGGCCATAAATACAACCCTGGGGAGTTCTAGAACAGTCTCAGTGACCTTGTGCAGGGGGGCGGTGGGAGAGAAAAGGAGCGGATGGGCGGGGGAGGGGAGCAGGCTTGCAGGAGGTGTGCGAGTGGCTTTCCAAGTACCTGTGCCTCCTGCGTAGCTGTTAGATCTGGTCACTCTCCCTGTTGCCAGGTTGCTGCGGGTTCTCCCCTTTCCTTTCCAGAATGTCCCAAATGCAGGGTTGGCAGACTGGGTGCCACAGGGAACCGTGGCACCTAGGGGCACAGCTCAGGCTGGGGGGCTGAGCAGCTCACTCCGGGGGGAAGACGAGTTCCCCAAGTTCAGGCGTGAGACGTGCTGGACAGCAGGGCAGGAGACCCTGCCAGGGAAGACGGCTCCAGCAGGACACTCGCTGTCCAGTCGCACAAGCTCGGGGAGCCGGGGAGAGAGGCGGGAGAGCCTAAAGCCACATTTGGCCACCCAGGCTGCTCCCCGGCAAGGCCTGATCTCAGAAAGGAGGAGAGAAAGTACACGGAGGTGAGGCCCCATGCATGCATGTGTCACAGCGGCCCACGGTGACGCGAGGGAGGGAGGCTTGGCCAAGCCAACACCACCACAGGGTGTAGGAGAGAGACAGGGTCATCCCGGGCCTCAAGTACCACCACCGCGCAGAATTCAACCCCTTCTTGCCTCTGGAAAATCACAGACTAAAGGAAGGGAGGACATGCACGAGAAGCAAGGGCTGAGGAGACGGTAAGCGAGCAGGTTTGAGAGGGGCTCTCGGGAGCAGGGCCCCAGGGAGGCTCATCCCTCCTCTGACACTGCTCCGGGCACGCACGGGCCGGGGAAGGGCAGCAGCGGCTCAGCAGAGAGAGGAGGCCACAAGCTAAAAAGGAGGGGCTGGCTGGCAAACATGCCCATCACTGCCTCCCCAGGACGCTGGGTCGAAGACGTGGTGTCAGCTAGGGGACAGGTTTCCAGGTGTGTGCTCTGGCTTCGGTCCTATCGGTGTCTCTGTTCTTAATAAACGCTCCCATTTTCCTAGCATCCTCCCCCTGGCCAGGTGTTAGGCTGGCATTCGTCACACTGGTCCCAAACCTCACTGTACCCCGCAAGCTTCACAGAGGAGGAAAGGAAGAGTCCGAGGAGCTGGACGCTTGCCCGAGGTTACACCAGCATCCTTTGGTGGACGGCAGAGCCAGGTGCACCCAGGTCTGCTAGGCCCCCGGGGCTCTTTCTCACTGGGTCGTGTTTCTCCCTAATGAAGTTAGTAACAGCTCCTACGCAGACACAGGAAATGACCCCAAACGTGCGCAGATGTCACAACACTGGGCAGGCTGGTATCTACACTGGAGGGCAGAGGCTGGATCCAAACAGACCTCATTAGGCTGGGAAAAATCTCAGAAGAGGGAGCTTCAATGCAAGACGCTGTGCCGAAAAGCCGCAGCCCGGAGCTGGCTGGCAGACCAGCAGCCCTGCTGAGGACATAATTCAGTAAGATGGCACTCTCTTCTGTGTCTCATAACCCCGTGACCAGCAAGCACCCATTGCCTTCACCTCTGTTTCTGGCGTGCATAAACATGGTGAGTACTTCTTGGGAGATACGACACTGCATCCGGTTTCAGGACCGATGACTCATGAACTTGTCACTCACAAACCTTCAGCTGCTCATTTCCTGGGATGACCAAGAACAACCAGGGCTCAGGGCTGGGGTGTTGGGCTCAGTAGACCACCCACCCTCTCCAGTACTTGAGGTCTGCTCGAGCTGGGTCAGAAACACAGCGTCTTTCCCTGCAGGGTTTTCTCGGCCACTAGTGAAATCCAGCTAGCTCTGCGACACACTTCCACTTGAGTGACCACCACACCCGATGCCCGACGTGGGGATGTGGGGGTGTCCAAACCACCCACGTGGTTACTGGGTGTGCACAGCCTGCTCCTGTGCTAGCCCAGCTGGCTGAGTTCTGAACAGAAAAGGGGATGTGGATTCTACGGTGGTGACTTCTCCAATCATCATCATTTCATACAACAATGAACAATGAAACTCGACCCCCTTCCCAAACTGGTTCTCTCTCTCTCCAAACCACTGCTCTTGGGCCTTGCTTCTTCCAGCCTTGGTGTTAGCTAGCTTGAAAATGGCAATGAGAGCGTTGTTAGCAAAGAAAGGATTTCTGGTTTGACATGGAAATATGAACAGATTAGCCACCAGTTTTATTTGGAAAGAAAACCCTTGAAACCCCACTACCGCCTTTCCTTCTGCTGCCAAAACTTGGGCTCAAGAAAGTGGGGTCTGTCTTGGAGCAAATCAACGTGGCTGAAAATGGCAGGGGAGGGGCTCTGTTTTCTAAGGAGGAGTCAAGGACATCCCCATGCTGGAGGCAGGGAAGGGGAAAAACCAATCTAGCATTCAGGTTGTAGAAGGCGGATTGAAACGAGAAGTCATTTGGGAAAATATTATATTATAAACACATAGAATAATATGTACACACTCATATACATCCCAAAGAGAAGCCTTACAAGGAATTCCGTTTCTTTTCAACAGAAGGCTTCACTATGATAAAGCATTCCTATAGTGGGAATTAACTACAATGAAATAATTTAAGAATTTCATTTATACTATATCTGTGCTGACTACAGAAAGTCCACGGTCAGGGCTGTGCGGAGCTGCACGTGTACAGCCGGGTGAGAACACTAACGCGTTCTTCGAAAATAGGCAATGACTTGATTTTTCTCTATTCACATTTAAAATAACTACACAGTGATGAAACGCAGAATTAAAACTCGAATGGATGGGCTATGGGACTGTTGTCACGGTTCTCAGACTTGTGGCTTCTGCACTTGTTGTATTTTTGGGTTCTGGTGACTTCCACCGAGCTTAATTAAGATTAGAAATTTCCATGAAACACTTACCCACATATAAAGTCTCTGTAAAGCTTTATTTCTTTCCCCACCTACTTTGAATATTTTTTTAAAAAGTGAAAGAAGAGGAAAAACTTACAAACATAAGGTTTAATATAGGAGAGCAAGGAACTTCCCGGTGGCTGCCAGGCAATGTGCCTTTGTGTTTCTGTGCTACGGCAGGCCGGTGTCCTCATCTTCCATCATGACAACCCTTCCTCCCCGTCACACTGCCAGAGGCAAAGCCGCCCCCTTTTCTTTCGAACCTCAGGGATGCCATGACTTGGCTTATTGCGTTTGACCGCCACAGTGAAGGCGGCTCACGGTACCACGACAACGGCACATCAGGCGAGGTGCTAGCCGGCGGGGCCTGGCCGCTAAGTCCAGGTCGTGTGGGATCTCAGGAGCCAGTGGGTGGCTTAGAACCATCAGCGGCTGCCTCTGTAAAGCACCCTGGTCTGGCATTCAGAAAATCGCCCCGTCTTGCCAGAGCCCCTTGGTCTTGGTTAGCAAAAGTAGCGTCCGAACTAAATCATGCTTTCAATCACGAGAAATCACATGCCTCTTTTCCCCTTTCTAATATGCGCCAGGGTCTTTTTTTTTTCCCTTCTCAATTTTAATAAGCAAATCGTACCACCATCTTATCCTGATATGTTCCTTTTTAAAAGCTGTATATCACGTTAATGGAAGTGTTTACTGCTGGGAATATTTTCCATGTACAACGATCTGTAACCCTCTTATCTCAACTAGTTGCACGTTATTAGTTCACATCCAGTTCAATTTATAAATTAACAGAGGTGCCATTTGTCTGTACAAAAATCAATGCATATTTATGAACTTCTTTTATTCAAATAGATTTTCACACATCTTATCTAAAGACACAATACAGAAGCCTGTGTAACTTGGGCAACGTGGCCCAGGAGTGGCTGAGACCCGACACATCCACCTTGGCAAAAGGACATAAAATATCTCTTATGTTCGGAAAAAATAGCCTTTTATGTATTTACTCGGTTTACCGAATGTACTCAAAATGCTATTATTAGCTGAATTTGTGATTTCCTTTTGAATTTCTGAGTTATTCTTATTTATTTTTTCCATTTTGTTTTTGCACCAAGGAGACTGCAGTCAAATAATACTCAGCAACTGATTTCCTCTCTTTGGACTGAAAAATTAAACAGATACTAAATTATGACAGTGAATTTAGAAAGGAGGGCTCCAAGGGCTTGAAAGAACATGTCTGGGATAATATGATGCTTCTAAGAGTATTGCAATCACATCGTGGCAATCACCGGAGCGTGCCGCGTAACTACCTCCTCGGCTAATATGCTTTCTTCTCGGTGATGACTAATCATGTTCTATTAAACAGCGGTAATGCTGCAAGAACTCAACTATACAAGTGTAATGAAGCCAGTATTCTCCCTGGACAGATTAGCTACAACTGATTTGACACATACCATCATAGGGGCTTCAAACCTGACAAACTCTGTGCTTGCCTCTGATTTATGCCGTCAAGCTCCTCGGAGAAGAGATGAAATCCAAGTGTTCCGTTTGGTAGAGGTGAAATGTACTGATGTGCTTAACTGCCGGTTAAGGAAAGTTGCCCCTTCTCCTTGTTCCTCACCTCCTCTCCCCCTCGAGTCCCCGTCCCTTGTGCCACCAGGACAAGGGTCCCGCACCGTGTGCTATCATCGAAGAACCAAGGCCCCGTCGGTCTCTCCTGTTTGTTGTTTAGGGGAGTTTATGAAAAGGGATCGATTCTGCAGCCTCCTGGCCTCCTCTTTGCCCTTTGAGGATGTCCGGGCTTTGTGATTTCGTTTTGGGTGAGAGTGGGCGGGTGGGTGGGAGGTGACCACCAGGAACAGTGAGGGGATGCGACGGGACTCACGTGCTGCAACTTCCAGTGCGCGGCGAGGCTGCCGCGTCCCAGGCCTGGCGGGGTGGTGGGTGGGCACGGCTGCTCCTCAGATGATGGTGGGCACCCTCCCGCTGCTGTTGTTCCGGTTATTGTTCTTCCTGGACAGGTTGGGGGTGGCCATGAGCACGAAGCGCTCGTCAGGGCAGCCGTACTGCAGCAGGACGTCGATGCACTCCTGGCTGGAGGCCTGCCGGGCGTAGGCCAGCGCCGTGTTCCCGTGGGCGTCGCGGGCCATGACGTCCACCCCGTACTGCGGAGGCAACAGAGCCCAGGTTAGCATCATGGGGTCTGACGGAGGGAGGGGCAGGGAGCTTCCTCTGGGCCCCTGCACTTGGTGGCCTGTGCTCCGACAGGGACTGCTGGGGCCGGCTACAGTAGGAGTGGTGGGGACCCAGGACCAGCCAGTGCTGGAGGCACAGCCTGGCCCCCCGTCAGGGCATTCTTTAAGGGAAAAACATACTTTTCTCAACTAAAAGCCCCTCCTTTGTGCAATATCAACGAATCAAGGATAACTTTAATTTTGCTATTTCTATTTTGACTTTCCAATTGTAAAAAGAATATAAATCACTTCTTTTTTTATCTCAGAGGCAATTCATTTTATTGTAGAAAATACATAAGCAATGCATAAAAGCATAAGAGAGAAAAATCACCTATAATGTTGCCATTCAGAGATAACCTTTGTTAATATTTTAGTGTGTTTTCTTTTAATGGGTTTTCTCTGAATCTAAATGTATGTGTGCATAATTGAGATAAAACTATACAAGTCGTTTTAACCTTTCCTTTTTTTTTACTGAACACTGTACTGTGATCATTTTCTTACATCATTAAAAATGACTCAAAAGCATGACACATAATAGCTATCTAGTATCCCACCACACGAGCATAATTCAGTCACTCTGTCCTCAAATGCTGCACATTTTGTCCAAATATTGTCATTGGTAGAAATAGTGCCCTGATATATATCCTCACATCAAATCTTTCTCAGGATCTCTGATCATCAGAGAGATGATTAGGAGGAGGAAACGCTCGGTTAAAGTACACAACATTTCTAAGTTTCTTGCTCATGGAAAGGGTGGATTCACCCCCGTTTCCGCCGGCTCACACTGTAAGGGAGTCTCAGCGCACGCTCTACGGCCCCGAGCCATCGAAGGAGCTCTCCGCCAATTTGATAAGGAAGGACGGCCAGCGATTTGTCGCAGGCAGAACTATGCCCCCGCTCCCCTCGCCATTCGCACGGTGAAGCCTCACACCCAGCACTCTCGAAAGCGATTATATTTGGAGATGGGGCCTTTAAGGTGGCAGGTAGGGTTAAACGAGGTCTTAAGGGCGAGGCCCTGATCCTACAGGGCTAGCGCCCACGTAAGAAGAGGAAGAGGCCCGGGCGTGGGTGCAGAGGAAAGGCGGGAAGGGCCATGTGAGGACACAGGGAGAGGAGCCATCTCCAAGACACCAACCCTGCCGGCACCTTGACCTCGAACTTCCAGCCTCCAGAACTGTGAGAAACAACTGTCTGTTGTTTAAGCCACCTGGTCTACGGTGTTTCGCTGTGGCAGTCCTAGCAAACTAACCGCAGTTGTTATCTAATCTGTATCACACCATATGCATGACGAGTGCGCCAACGTGCGCCACGTACCCAGATCAGGAGCTGCGCCAGGACCACGTTCCCCTTGCGGCAGGCCAGGTGCAGCGCCGTGCGGCCGTCTCCCTCCCCGCAGGTCTCGTTCACCTCGTCCCGGGAGCCGTGCGCCAGCAGCAGGATGACCGTCCGCAGGTCCTCGTCGGCAGTGGCCCGCAGCAGGTGCTGGCCCAGGGACAGCTCTGTGCACGGCAGTGGGGCCAGGAAGAGCTTCTGCTCGTACTTGGCCCGGATCCACCGCTCCTTCTCTTCCCTGCAAGAGCCACCAGACAGGTGTGGTCACCATTGGCAGGAAAACCCGGGCCACAGCCCCCGCCTGCGTGGCCAGCAGGCACTCAGAGGGAGGCAGGTAACTGGAGATAAGTGTCTTCCCTGGCACAAGGGAGTCCCCAGGGATGCAGCTAATCCATGCTCACAAAGTGGCGTCCTCACCGCAGCCCAGCACCACCTGGGAACTTACCAGAAATGCAGGTTCTCCACCCCCACCCCCAACCTTCCCCGACCCCCAGCAAAATCAGAACCTCAGGGGGTGTTTTAAAAAGCCCTACAGGCTCACGCCCGTAATTCCAACATTCTGGAAGAGGTGGGAGGGTTGCTTGAGCTCAGAAGTTCAAGACCAGCTTGAGCAAGAGCGGGACCCCATCTCTCCTAAAAATAGAAAAATTAGCCGGGTGTCGTGGCACGTGCCTGTAATTCCAGCTACTCAGGAGGCTGAGGCAGGAGGATGCTTGAGCCCAGGAGTTAGAGGTTGCAGTGAGTTATGATGATGCCACTGCACTCTACCTAGGGTGACAGAGCAAGACTCTGTCTCAAAAAAAAAAAAAAAAAGCCCTGCAGAGGCTTCTGATACCCAAGGTAGGAGAACCACTGATCTAAGGCTCATGGCCTCAGAGTTCTCGATTTCTTTTGCTTTTAGTGCAGAAGCTGTGGCCTTGGGTCAGTGGTTCTCACACCTCCCATGCATCGGAGAGACAGGGTGCAAGGACAGCCTCCATAGGCCGACAGCTCAGTTTTACTATAAGCAAGAAAAATTGTGAGTCGGGATTAAAGGACATTTGGCTAGAGTCTGGGGGCAGGACAGTCGGAGGGCCCCCCCCACCTGGGGGTGACGTGTGCTCTTAGCTCATCCGCCTGCGATAGGAGGGTGTGTGATCTCCCCGGGGTCTCCGAACACTTTCAGTTGAAGAAACATGGCCAGAGACCCACCCTGGAAAGGCAGAAACTCCAACGGGGAGGTTTGGAAAAGAGACACAAGCTAAGTCCAGTCACTGCATGCGCATCTGTCATCTCTCAGGACACCTGGGAAAGGCTTAAGTGCAGGTGGCAGGATGTCACAAAGCCCTCAAATGACAATGAACAGCCAAGTTTTCTGAGGGAAATTGTTCCAGGGTGTAGGAAACAAGGCAGGCGGCCCCCCAAGGCCAGGGCTGAGCAGGGGCACAGAGGAGAGGATAAGGCTGGGGACAGGGCCGGGTAGGGGCAGGGGTGTGGACAGCAGAGATGATGGCAGCCGCCCCCGCTTCCCCTGCATGACCCAGCCGGGACTGAGCATCCACAGGTCAGTGGGTGTGATAACCACTCCATCCCCGGGGGTCTAAAGAGGACAGGGACCCTGCATATGACATCTGGAGGGAGGGCTGAGGAGAAAGGGGGCCAGGATGGGATGAGAAACTCAAGAAAGAGAGCAAGAGAAACCGACAGCAAGGCGTGTTTACGTTGACCCGGAGCAGGGACCCTGGGCAAGCTGCTCCTAGGCTCTGTGGCTGCTCAGGATGGCTTTTGGTTCTAGTTTCTCAAAAAAGGATGTGAGATGGCCAGGCGCGGTGGCTCACGCCTGTAATCCTAGCTCTCTAGGAGGCCGAGGCGGGCGGATTGTTTGAGCTCAGGAGTTTGAAACCAGCCTGAGCAAGAGCGAGACTCCGTCTCTACTAAAATTAGAAAGAAATTAATTGGACAACTAAAAATATATAGAAAAAATTAGCCGGGCATGGTGGCGCATGCCTGTAGTCCCAGCTACTCGGGAGGCTGAGGCAGGAGGATCGCTTGAGCCCAGGAGTGTGAGGTTGCACTCCAGGCCCAATAACAGCTGAGAACCACTATCTGTAAAAAAAAAAAAAAAAAAAAAAAAAAAGGATTTGAGAGGTACTGAAAACTCAGCAGTCCCCAAGACTCAGCAGCACTGATAGGAAAAGGGGGGAGGAGTGGGGGAGCAAGAAATTTAAAAAGAACAACGTGAGATTTTACAAGTAGCTCTTGAAATTTTGCAAGCGGCCAGGGAGCAGAGCCGGCAGGGTGTGCTCCTCGGCCGGGCAGATGCTTTCTGATGAGGATGATGAAGAAAAGAGAGAAAAGCCCGCCATCCGAGAAGGGGCTGTGATTACCCACAGAGACCGAAATAATACACTGATTCTCAATTGCCCTCTCCTAAAATCCAGAAGTTTCTCCAGGGGAGTAATCAGAGTACATAGCTACAAACGGCACGGAGAGATCACTTAGGGCTTCCACGAAAGTCTAGAAAGAAAACTCATTACCCGTGACATTTCTGCTTCCGAAGCACAGAGGAAAAGCGTTGTATACACCTTTTACCCGTGTTTACACTGCTCCCGGTGATCCAGTGTCGGGTTAGCCCTAATCTGTTTTTAAATACTTAGGCAAACAAATTCTTCCAGGAGTAAATCTGCATTAGTTTTGCTTCACTTCCTGGTACATGGGAGTGACCCCAGAGTGACCCCCGACTCTTTTCATTCGGAGATTTCCAGGACAAACACCGGGCTGCAGCTGAGAACTGACACACTGGCACCCACAAATGCAGCGGTGGGCGCAGCCCTCGCGCCCCACTCGGCAAAAACACGTGCGCCCAAGTGCTGGCCATGTCTGAGAAATGCCAGTTAGAGAGAAAGACCAAAAACAAAAGAACAGCAAAAAGCGGTTTTGATGATATTTTTCGAACTTTACCTAAAATGTATTAAATGTTTGTTAATGCATTTCATAAATCACAGGAGAGGAAGAGCAAAACGTGAATTAAATGAAAAGGGATGGTCGTGAAGATGTCCAGATTTTCAAGTTCCGATTAGCTAACTCTCATTTTTTGGTAGGCATTAAAATCATAACTGCTTTATTCTGCTCCGATTGATTTTAATGGTCATTGCTAAATCATCCGGGGATAAACCCGAGAATTTACATAGTAACTACAGTCCTAACTGCAATTATTCAATTTTCTTTTTCTCATTCAAATACTCCGGCCAAAGAATGAGTACAAAACCACAGCTCTTGCGCCCTTTGCTGTCACCCGCGTGTGCTCTGGGGACTCTGTCCGGGTCTGGTCACCCGGGGGCAAGCCCATCTGAAGGGACTGAAACCAACACACGTCTGAATGAGCCGTTCTTTGCTTTTAGAAATCGGTCCTGTTTATAATACATAATAAAGGTGAGTCCAGGTTTTGTGGAGCTGAAAATGTATACTATTTTGGGAGCCTTCTTTAAGAGGAAAATTGAAATAGTATGTACATGAAATTAAAAAGAGGGCCTGGGAGAAGGCGGGACAACAGGAGGGGCCCAGGCCTGGGCTTCCTTAGCCTCGTGGCTCCCGATAAGAGAAGGAACAGATTGCTCACATGGGTTTGAAAACCCGAGTCTACAACTCAGATACAGAAACGGGCTTGATATTGGTAACTGTTACCCGGGAATTCTGCAGGGATAGGAGACAAGGGCCAAGTCCCTGGACAGGCTTCTTGGCGGGGCCTCCCCTTGCCCCACATCCGCGTGACCCCTCATGTTTCCCCAAGGACGCCCCCAGGTCTGTTCCTGTGGCTCTTATTACCTGACAGAACCATGGCTCTTCACCCAAACTTCGTGTGCTACTTAAAAACAGAAGCTCTCAATGCCGACTTCTGGGTCCTTTGGGGCTGCAATATTTCAGTGTGTTTCCAGACACCAGGACGTGGCCAGAAAGCTCTGGGCAGCCCCTGGGCTTCGTGTCTGTGTCAGAAGTGACCCTTCTTAGCAGCTGAAATCCAACTGGTATGAAAACAGGACTCAGACATGGGCACTGGGGTTTTGGGGTGCTCATTCAGCACCCCCCCGTCCATGTTCAACCACTTGCCATGACCTAGAGCCCATGTCCTGTGGCCGCTGCCCGACCTGACAAACGGGGTGGGGGGAGGTTAGCTCTGTGCACTTTCTGCAGGGGCCAGAGCACGGGAAATAAACTCTCCCACGGATGCCGGGCTAAAGGCTGCGGTGTTCAGCGTTAGAGAGACTGGGGTTTACATGTCTGCTTTTTCCTCCTTAGTGGTGGACTTTCACTTTTTTTTTTTTTTTTAGAGACGGGGTCTCACTCTGTCACCCAGGCTGGAGAGCAGTGGTGCAATCACAGCTCACAGCAGCCTTGAATTGCCAAGCAAGCCTCCCATCTCAGCCTCCCGAGTAGCTGGGACCACGGGCGTGTGCCACCACATCCAGCTGACTTCACCTTTCTAATAATTTCTTGGACCCCTCCTCTCCTCATCTGTAAAATGGGTACAGCAACATCCACACCAGCCAGGGCTGTTTTGGGATTTGAGATCATGCATTTGGATGATGGGCTGGCCAGAGCAGTTCCTCTGCAGATAGGAGCTGTTGGTGTTATGACTGAAGAGCATAACGTCTCTGATAATTCAACATCAAGGTCATGTGTGCAAGAGCCCACCACGGGGTGGTCTGTGTGCTGGTGGTGCTGGTGGCATGGGGCTGGGTGCCAAAACACCTGCTGGGTGCTAGAGGTTTCTAAATCATGGCTGTCTGGAGATAAGACCCTCACAGGACTTTGTGGTCAGCATGGTGAGGTGGGTTGCTCTTGGCCAGGGGCCTTGACAAGACCACTGGCATCTTGTGTGCTCCCCTAAGGGTGCAGAGGGCACCAAGACACTGCAGTAAGTGGGGCATGGCTGGTTTAAATGACCCATGGCTGTCAGAGTTGCTGGGGCAAGGTCTGGTCAGCCCCTGCCCACAGCCTTGAAATGTTTGAAGGCTTCTTGCATGTTATAGACCGAATTGTGTCCCGCAAAATCCACATGTTGAGGCCCTAACCCCCAGTGAAGCTGGACGTATAGATGGGGTCTCCAGGGAGGTAATTAAGGCTAAAAGAGTCCATGAAGGGAGCCCCTAATTCAATCAGGGCAGGTGTCCATATAAGCAGAAGAGACGCCAGATCTCTCTCTGCGTGCACACGAGGACATGAGGACATGAGGACACGGTGCAAAGCCACCATCTGCAA